CTGGACGTTCCTCAGCTGCTCTCGCACCTGGCTGCTGTCTCCGCCAGTTTTTGGATGACCCCAGGTCACCACCTCGCCCCCGTGGCCATGCCAAGCAAACGCCGTTTCGGTTGCAGCCAGATGGCCAAGCTGCGCGACCGCCGCCACCACGTCCCCATCTCGCAACCCGGCCTCACTAATCGTGGCCGTCAAATCGAGCTGCCGGCCTTCCGCGATGAGCGTCAAGCGGCGCTGGAAATGCTGCTGCGCTGCAGCCTTCAGCTGGCTGACTGGTGTCGCCGGTGAGACTTCTATGGAGCAACCATCTCCGCTGGGCAGGTGAATATGCACCTTCATGGCGAGGGAAGGTTCCTTCCCTTCATGCAAGTAAACTCGAGGAAAAACACTTTTGGCAGGGAGCTTGTTCGGGATCCCAACCATTGTCGAAACCAAATCTAGGACACAGACAACTCATGACAGCTCCCTGGGTCTTGAACCGTCATGGGCGTTCGTGCGATCAACGGGGTTGGGTTACAGGAAATTCTACACGAAAACACATGATTTAGGTTGTTTTGGGGCCACTTCCTGTCGATTGTCCCGTGCCCAGACCAGTTGAAATCCTTTGAGATCAACGAGTTGCGAGTGGCGTGTTGATCTGCTTGCAACCGGACCAGAAAACCAGGAAAAAGCCGTGGCGTAATTGTCCCCCCGTGCGCAACCAAACTTTAAGGAGAACAGTTGCCCCAGACGACCCAGAAAAAGAAGAGTTCACCCAAAACGAGGAACCCGAAAGGAGAACTGGGCTGCCCGTTTTCAAAACCCCTTCCACACTGTGGGCGAAATTCGGAAACTCCACCAATAAACCCAAAACAAAGCCTAAGGTGAACCGGCCGATTCGCTGGGAACCACCAAGATCCACCAACCCCCTACTCCAAATACCCACTTTTTTAGGGTATTTTTTGGAAAACCTGGTTTTCCATGGTAAATACCTCCTTATTTAGTATAGGGTTTACATGATACCCTTAAAAAGAGTGGGTATTGGGTGTAAGGTGAAGTCAAAAGGTCAAAAAACCATTGGGCAAGATGTCGCATCCGAAATCCCGGCGATGTCCTGAAAGCTGTTTGTTGTCTGGGACCAGAAAAAGAGGAATGCTTCAGAATCCCTTTTCACATGGAGCCTTACGTGCTGGACCCGGTCCCTTTAAAAGGAAGATGGTGATTGCGCTAGGTCCTGTAGAGAGGTTAGAATAAGGGTACCAACTTATTTTCTCTGTAGTCTTTTTAGTAGGGGAACCCTCCCCCCAAATAGGGGTGAGACAGGGCAGCTAGCTGGGGGACCTAGTTGCGGGTTTTATAAAGACCTAAAGGTACTGGACTGAAATCGGTTTAGCTGAACATAGAGGATACCCCCTACTCCAAATCCACACCTTTCTTTTGGGCATTGTTTGAAAACCTGGTTTTCCACGATAAATGCCAATCGCGTTTTTAGTAGAGGGTCGACAAATCATACCCAAAAACAAACGGCCGGGTTTTTGGAGGTTACGGGGGTACATGTCCAATTTTCCCTCGAATTTTGTCGGCGGCTTCTTGGCTTGGTTTGGAAGCGGCTCTGAACCAACCGGTGGTCCAGACGTTCAAACCACCACCGACCCCCGACTCCAAATATATACCCACGTTTTTGAGGGTATCATGTCGACCCTCTACTAAAACGGGATGACCATCAAAAAATACTTTTTTGGCAATCAACAAAAAACTTTCAGCCATCAACAACAAACTTTCTTAGCAATCAAAAACTAACTTTCCACAATCTCACTCTGCTGCTCTTATATTGTGTTCTTTGGTTGTCATTTGATTTCTGGTTCCTTGAACATCCCTGGTCCCGTGGTCCTTTTCGGTCTCCTGGTCCCTTGGTCCCTTGGTCCCTTGGTGCCTTGGTCCTGGAGCCCTTGATCCTCTGGTCGCTCGGTCCTTTGGTTATCTTGGTCTGCTGATCTTTGGTCCTTTGGGTCCTCTGCTCCGTTGGTCTTGGTCCCTTCATCCTTGCACCTCCTGGTCCTCTGGTCCCTTGGTCCTTTGGTCCTTTGGTCTCTTGATCCTTTGGTCTTTTGAGTTCCTCTCTGTTTGGCTTCCACCCCTAATCCAATCATCACTTTTAGATTTTTTGCCCCCAATTGAATCATCACTTTCTGGATCATCATGGGGGGGCTGCCGCCCCCCCAACCCCGCCCGCTACTTTTAGATGTTTGGCCACAATTTGAATGATCACTTTTCGATCATCATTGGGGGGGGCTGCCCCCCCAACCCCCCCGCTACTTGTTACATTGTTTACCCCAAATTGAATCATCACTTGTTCGATCACCATTGGGGGGCTGCCGCCACCCCCCCCCCCAACCCCCGCTACTACTTCTGAGATTTTTTGCCCCAGTTGAATCATTATTTTCTTGATCATCTTGGGGGGGCTGCCGCCCCCCCCAACCCCCCCGCTACCTTAGCTTTGTGGCCCCCAATCGAATCATCACTTGTTCGATCATCATGGGGGGGGCTGCCGCCCCCCCCTAACCTACTTTTGTTTAATTTGTTTGCCCCTAGTCGAATCATCAGACCACCACGGGCTGGCCCCCCCCCCCACCCAAACCCCCCGCTACTTGTTGGACTTTTGGCAGAGATTAAAATGCAGCCCTAGTTGAATCACCACTTTTTCGAACATCACGGGGGGGGCTGTGTTTACCATCATGAGAGGGACCCCCTCGCTGCTTTTTGACATACATACATAAATACCTACCTACCTTGCCGGAGAGGAACTGATGATGCTGAGGATGTAGTAACGACGATGCTGATGATGTTGACGGGCTAGTACATTTCGTGCGAGAACGCTTTAAAATACAGTAGTTTCTAGCCAGGCCGGAAAACAAAAAAGAAACTCAACACAAAAAACAAAAACGAAAAAAACAAATTAAATCTCGACCCTTTTTGTTTGTCTGTTCTTCTTTGTCTCTCTTGCTCTATCTCTCCTACTCTGTTTTTCTATTTCCAAGAACATGAGGAAACCCCGGCCTTTACTTCTTTGTCGTGTAAACGCCCAGACCATCGCAAAAGAGTAACCCCGCAGCTACAGCACGTGTGATGAGACCGTGTCCGTGCGCATGCGCTGCGTGTTCCTTTTGATACACACGTTTCTCACTAAATGCAGCCCTGAGTGCATTAAGTTGTTTCTTGATGGCTAAAACATTTTTTTTGTTTGCTAAAAAATGTTTGTTAAACAAGTTGTTTGATATCCTTCCCTACTAAAACAGGGATCTGGTATTTACCTTGAAAAACCGCAAAAAATACCAACTAGAAAAAGTGGGTAGTTGGAGGTTACGGGGGTTCCCATAAGCTTAAAACAACTCAGATGCCCAGTGGATTTCCATGGGACAAAAAGAGCATCCAATCCCAGGGAGTTGAAAGGCCTGAGTTACGGAGGCCGTTTAAACACGGGTTGGTTTTTTACGTTGCCTTTTTACGGGGTGTTTACGTCCTTTTTACGGGGTGTCTAAAAGGCCGTGGACTTAAAAGGCCTAAGTTACGGCGGAGGAAGCTCTGGGAATGTTTTGTTTGGGAAGGAATCGGAGCTGGAAGGAATCGGAGCCCAAACCCCCGAAAGTTGAAGGGGCGGAATCTGGTTGCAACTGGTTGCACCCCCAGCCAGGCACCATGTATCTTGGTTGAAGTTGGGTTAGGGGAGCAAAGATCATCAAAAATTCTAGCAGTTAAGTGGAAGGGGATTTCAACCTCTAAACCACAATAAGCAAAAATGTAAAACTCCCTTGCCCAAAGAATCCAGGAATAAAAGGGTAACCTTTTGGGGCCATGACTAAAACTAGACAAAAAAGGAAAAATCAAAAGGTCAAAAGGTCGGCTTTGGGCAACTGAGAAAATGTTTCCCAACAGCAACCATGGTATGAAGCCCCAAGTGTCGGCTTTCCAGTCGCGAGACCGCCTTGCAATCGTTGCAATGAGCCCATCCATCGCTGGCTTGAACTCTCGCTGGCTTTGCTCAACCCACCCCCGAAACCTCCAAAGACCCGGCCTTTTCTTCCCGAGTAGGTTCGGCCCAGTTATACCCCAGCTTTTACGGTATGATTTCCGACCCTCTACTAAAAAAGGGATCGGTATTTACCTTGAAAAAAAAAAACGATCGGTTCTCCCAACAAATACCCTAGAAAAGGTGGGTATTTGGAGTACGTTGTAACCGTTGTTTCTCCAAATACCCCGGCCTTGTTTTAGTTCTAGTTTTAGTTGTTGTTTTTTTCTAAACGAAAAGCCGATCGGGTTTCCATGGTACATACCGATCCCTTTTTTAGGGGGTTGACAGGATACCAACCAAAAAAAGGAAGGGTACCCTTACACCCAATACCCACTTTTTCTGTGGTATGATGTCGACCCTCTACTAAAAAAGGAGGTATGTACCATGGGATCCCCCCCAAAAAAAAATCTAGAAAAAGAGGGTATTTGTAGGTTACGGGGGTATTGGGTGTAAGGCTCTTTTTTTTTGCGGGGGGAGGTACCTTACCATGCCGAATTACGCTGATGTCGACCTTTCTCACAGAATTCTGACGCCATTCCTTTCGACGCCGAACTCATGAAATGCAAACCTGCTTGCACTGGAACTCGGTCACATCCTAAAAAGGGCCCTGAAAAGAAAAATGGTCCAAACCAGGACCGCCGAACATCATATTCCACGTTCATTGGTGGGAGGGTCAGTGGTTCGAACGCCAAGTGGGTGTGGCTCAAAATTGAAGAGCCAGGGTTCCATTTTGGTACATCTTTTTCAGCCACAGCCAAGTGACCGCAAGTCTTCCATTTGCTGAAGCCCCCTGCAAAAAATGAGAACATATGTTCAGTAGTCATAGGTTCCCTTTAAAACCAACAGGGCAACATAAACATATATATATATGTATACACATATATTCATGTCAGCAACTGGAAGAAGTGCCTCGCAGGATTTCGGCCGACTCCCGGGCGAATTCCGCTTTCGGCGCCTCCAGCAGCGCCTGCAGCAACTGCTCCAGGTCCGGGTCCTGGTCCTCCGCGGCTTGCCTTCGGTGGGGAGTTCGGTAGACTGGGCGGTGGCACCGCCATGGGATGTCCACGAATCTGCGATTCCAGGGATGAAACCCCAAAAAACACGAACCATGTAAAGAGAAAGACACTCGAAAACCCTAGCAGGGTCCATGAGCGTCTGGCATGTTGACATATCTGCTCTGCTCTCCGTCTGTAAGTAAGGATTCCCCGAAGCACTCCCTACAACCAAGTTGAACATGTGCGAAGTGTCACAGCTAGGTCCTCCAGTCAGAGAAAGTAAAATAAGCCCACTTTTGTCTTCTTGGTCTATCTCAGTACGGGAACCGAATCTCCGCCCAAAAAAGTTGGTCACACTGCTGGGAAACCTGGGCCGGCTGACTGCGAAAAAACGAACCGATGGGGGAGATTCCAAAAAGTATCCGCAGTGGCTCAAAATTAAAGAGCTAGGGTGACGCAGGTTTTGGTACCCATGTTTCTACTTACCAGGGCAACCCATTTTGGAATTCCTGTTTTTTGAGCCATACCCAAGTATCGCAGTGCTTGGAGAAACCCCATCCCACAACCCTGCTCTCGGGGCAAGGTACGTCAGGTTTTTCACCATGAAAGTCATCCCCACCCTACTCTCGGGGAGGGGGTGGGGGGTCCGCGCCAGGTAAGTCGTAACCAAAGCAGCCCAAACCGGAGCCACAGACATCACAGGTCCGACAAATCCCAAGCTGCAAAAGCCAATCCATCGGATTGAATGACCCCGGAAGCATTGACTTTGATCCGGAAATGCCAACTCCATCTTGTAAGAAAACCAACCATCAACCACCATGGTAAATCACAAGTAAATTAGTAAATTTGCAGGGTTTCCTGCTTTCCTTTCTTGCGACGTTGAGTTGGCGTCAAATAGGTAATCCTGCTGAGGTGTCCGCTGCTTTAGGTTGTAACGATAACTTAGCGAATCGAACATACAAGTGGAGAGTACTGCCAAAGAATGCACCTGCACCCTCAAAGAGATAACTCAAAATGGACAATTTACCCCGGGTGAGCTTGGCGAATCGAACCTCCAAGTAGTGCTTGAACCCGCTCCGTTTTGGTCGAGCCCACCCCATCGATGGGTGCGGGTTCTGAGATCAGAGGTTCCAAGTTGCTAAGCTCAAACGTTTGACCCCCCTTAACCAAACCCTAGCTAAACCCCCTAAGTAAATAAGGGCTTATCCTCCACCTTCTTATTTTGCCTTTCCAACCCTTGGTATGGTAGCACAAAACGTTGCTTTTTGCAGCCCCCTGCTAAAAATAAACAGAATCAAACAAACCCAAGACCCAAAGACTTGATCCAACCACAAAGCAAAGCAAGGTCCCTTCTGGTTTGATTTCTGTTTCCTTTCATCGACCGGCTTGGAACACTCAGTTCTTGCACCAGTCACGAAAAGAGGGGAGCTGAACCAACCATCCTAAGCCCAAAGCTCCCTTTTCGCACTGACCGAGACTTGGTTCCATTTGCAGACGCCTTCTGCGAGCTTGAGTGCACCCCCAACTCCAAAGACCAACGGCCTTTGTTTAGGGCATCATGTCGACCCTCCACTCAAAAAGGGATCGGTAGTTACCAGGGAAAACCGAGAACGGTTTTCCAAAAACACCCTTTAAAAAATGGGTATTTGGAGCAGGGTAACCTCAACCTTGCCCATTTCGCACCAAACGTGAAGATCAAATGGAAACAAAAGCCTCTCACTGGTTGGCTTACCTTCGCCCCCAACCCCCCCCCCCCTCCCCCGGCCGTTTTTGGCTTGGACAAGCTTCTTCTTTGCCTTCCATTTGCTCAAGTCCCGCGGAAGAAATAAGAAAATATGTCCAGTGAAATTGATTCCCTGCAAAGCCACCAGGGTAAAATTAAAAAATGTCAACCAAATGGAAGGTACCGCCAAAACACCCCATTCCAAGTATTCGGGCGAAACTTGCCCGCACATTCCAGGGGAACAGGGGCAAGCTGTTCGTACTGTGTTGTGACCCCTAGAGCTCTGGGATTTATGCCACGACCGTTCCAACCAAATGGAACAGGGATACTTACATGAAAAACACCTGAACATTGCAACTTGTAAATGGTGGTTTCCAACTTTATTTTGGCGGAAAAAAAGAGCCATGTTTCAAGTTGGCAAAATGGAGATATTTTTTAAGGAGCCCTGTGGCAGTTGCTGCAACCCGTTTTTCCACCAACGAAGGACTGCCAACGCCGCCCCGTTCTTCGCTCCAAAACTTCCTGGGCTCGTGGGCTGGGCCACCGTGAGCCGCGCGTGCTCCAGGATCAACTCCTGAGGCGCGGGCGCGAAAGAAAAGGGCACTTTGACCGAAGGAGACTCCAGGTACCCAAAAAGGGAGACAACAAACCCCAACTACCCAAAGAGAAAGGGGAATTAATTCACCCACCAGACATATGGGTGTGGCAATCAAAATTAAGCAGGAGGGGCCAACCGCAGGTTTTGGTACCAAGGTTTCCACTTACCGATCGGGCAACCCATTTTGGAATTCCGGTTTGAATTCGCCGCAGCCATTTGGGCATGGGCTTTTCAAAATCCAAATCGGTTAGGTTCCAGTGAACGGCAGGGACCCAATCCAAGCACTTAAAATAGGAAGCCTAAAATGGGAGGTGAATTCACCTACCCCAAGATGGTATCATTGGCTTTGACCCACAGCAATGGGGGGGGGGAGTGGGGTTGGGGGGGGTGGTTAAAGGGAAACCGGAAGCAAACCAGACGTGGCTTCCGTTTTCCTTGTGAAATCTACACAAAATAGGTACCCAAAAATACATGAGTGCCCGCACATGTTTTTATGGAACACGCAAAGAGGTTCCTCTAATTGGAGCTCGCTCCAAACAACTTGGGTGTTTTGGTTCCATCTTGATCGCACGCAAAATCCAGCCAAGGATAGAATTGGGGGATGGTCCCAAATATCCACTGGGTGTGGATTTCTACCCTGGTTGTCAGACATGTTGAGACGCCTTTACCAGATTTTGTGACTCAGTTGGGCATGAACAGCTAAGGATTTGGACCGAACATGAGCGGTGTGCTTTTGGTTTACCTTTTACTCAGTCGCCCAAAGGACCCAGAAATCAAAGGTGATCACCTTTTGGGGCCTTTACTAAAGAAAAAAGGTTAAAAGGTCGGCTTTGGGCAACTGAGTTTAGCCAACCCCAAAACGGGGACCCAAAAAGAACATGTCTCAAAACCATCACATTCCTCTACAATGCACCTTCTAGTGGGTTCCATGTTGCTGGGAGGGAGGGTAGGTGTTGTCGGCCCCTTATGGCTGTACTACGATGGCTTCTTCCGGTTCACCATAGGAGGAGTTCGTCTTACCTTCTGGGGAAGAACTTGTTGCTAGGTTCTCCAGTAGAGAGGTTAGAATAAGGGTACCAACTTTTTTCTGTGGTCTATTTTAGTAGGAGAACCCTCCCCCAGGAGAGAAAGGGCACTACTGGGGGACCTAGTGCTACCTTTGATCTGGGATGTCCAAACTGATCAGGGGGCACCACAAAGCGGGGCATCAACTCGTTGGGCCATTTTAGGGGTATCTTGGCTGTCCTGAGACCCGTCAAAAGCTTTTAGCTTTGAGTCGGTTACTCAGTCGCCCAAAGGACCCAGAAATCAAAGGTGATCACCTTTTGGGGCCTTTACTACAGAAAGACCAAACTTGAAAAACCTAAAGGTTAAAAGGTCGATTCGCTTTGGGCAACTGAGGTTAAATTGAACCCCAACCACAAAACCAACGAAACAACGTACGAAAGACTCAAGGAACGGGACGATTCGCTACAAACCACCGGTAGGCTACCCTCCCCCACACTAACATGGAAGCTCCCAGGACCTTTTTTGGAAGACTTGGTTCCATTTGCAGGATCGGCCTTCTGGGAGCTTCCATGTTAGTCTGAGGGAGTGTAAATCCCAAAGAACCTTAGCGATGGTTTACCTACTGCATTTGCCAGGGATCCACTGGAAATGTCAATCAATCGTCCCTTTGCTTCTCTGGGGACATTTTGTGAATCCCGTCCCAAATGGGAGTTTCTCTAAAAGCACCTCCTTCTTTTTTCTTTTCGGGAGACCAAAAGGAAAGGGGGCTGCTTCCTCTTTTGACCAACACCCAAATGGGTGTGTGTGTGTGTGTCAAAATGCGACCTTCAAAATGCTGGTTTTCATGATGGCCGGTCACACGAGGTCCCTCCACAAAACGCCCACACCAATGGACCAGTTCACCTCCTTCCGCCCCTCCGATCCGTGCCTCCCGCTCGCGGACCAAAGAACCGCCCTCCGTCATGAGCGACACCTCACAGCCGGGCGCCACGTGCGAACCGCGGACCCTCGCGTCGGGGTACGAGACCCAGGTCTCACAGAAATGGAACCAGAACTGGAATTCCACGGGGCACCCCTTCCCCCAAGTGTATGTTTGACAGTGGGGAGGTTTCAATTCTGGGATTTCGCGTGACCCTGAGGCAAAAACACATTTAAGGACTCCTCCATGCGCTCTCTCGACAAGAGAATATCTTTGGGGCTGTGTCTGGCAACCAGAACATGGTAGAAACAGCCTGGGACCCCGTATGGCCGTTTTTTTTAGGTCATACGCCTTTGACCGTACGGATTTTTACGGTTTTTTTTCAACAACATGTCGAAAGAGGTTCTTGTTCAGGGGAAGCGGAATCCACTGTGATACAACAGAAAGGGCTTCTCAAAGACTTTCCATGGATTCGGGGGGAGATTCCCAAAAGTATCACAGAAGTGAGGGCTTTTTTCTGTTTTTTTCCTCGGGGGGCTCGTTTAAGCGAAGGGGGCACCCCCGTTTTGGGGTTGAGCTTGGGAAACCAACGCAAACCCCATGAAGGTGCTTCTATTTTCTCTGGAAAAATCGGACCCTGGAAAACAAAGGGACCCACCAAAAAAGCGAGAAAAAAAAAAGAAGGCAAAAAGGGGAGCGAATTCTGGGGAAGTTTTATTTGACGAACCCATATTCACGCTACCATAAAAAATTGTGCAGCTCTCAAATCTCGTTTCGGGTTTGGCCTGCTCAACTCAAGCGAACCCGTCCCGCTGCCAAGCGAAGACCAAACTGGCCTCTTGGGAAATGAGCTCACCGTTCGTGTTTTTGCCACCCACCCACCCACCCACCCACCCCAGTAAAAATGATCAGAACCAAAGAAATTGGACAAAGTTTGGACAAACGCGGCAAAAGTTAGGCAAAGGCCAGCCAAGTCTGTTGAATCCATCTCTCAAAATGTCCAAGCCTGAACATTTTGTTGAACGTGATTACATGTGAATCGTTCCCTGTTGTCCCACTGGTATGGTCTTGCTCTGCTCTATCTTTTTTACATCTACCCTAAAAATTAAAATGTTGTTGGAGACCCCAGCTAAGTGGGTCACCATACACATTGTGTGGTTGTGTGTGCCTGAAAAAAAAAAACGGTCGTGCTCCTATTTTATTTTAGAACCACCCCAACCACTGAAAACCATTAAACACCCAAAAACCGCAGGTTTTTTGTTTTACCCACCGGAAGCTCTGCGAGCCATCCAAACCGGGGGCGGAACGCAGAGGTTTCGTCCATGTTTCTTTGTACCAGGGTTCCATGTTGGAGACCGATTTTTGCCCCCACGAACATCTGTTATCGTCTTTTCGAGGGGGCGAAGCAAATGGCAGGCAAACAGGAACCCTGGATTTAAGATTGACCCACACCCAGACGTCCAGTAGTGAAATCGAGTCCCTTTGCAACCAACCACGGAAAAGTAGAGAAACAACTCCCTTCAGCAAATGGAAGTAGGAGTTCCCCGTCTCAGTTCCTGAGTGAGTTGGCCAAAAAAGTAACCAAACTGTTTATTTGCCACTCAACTGGTCCACACCCGAAAAGTGACTGAAGCCCAGAAACGCAACGAGTCAGCCTTGGTTTCTTCCCTAAGGCTCATGACCCCTACAACGCAGGCCCCCGCACCTCTAATCAACAACCCGGACCTCAAAATCCCCTTGAGAGCAACGCATCTTGAGATCCCCAGAAACAAACCTTGGAGCCTTAGCTAGGTCCTCCAGTAGAGAACTTTTTCTGTAGTCTATTTTAGCAGCGGAACCCGCCCCAAAAAAAAAATCGGTACAAGGGCACTACTGGGGGACCTAGCTAGGATTTTTTTTTTAAAAAAATGACGAGCGCCGCTTCCAAACGTTCAACGGACTGCCCGAAACCAAATCGCCCCCCGCGGGCGTTTATTCTTGAGGCCCGGGCGAGCGTCTCGGCCGCCCGGACTGCGCCTGCCGGCTCAAAGACCACCTTTCTCGCCCAAAAAGACACATGTACCCTCCCAAGAGATGTCAAGAGATGTTCACAAAAATCCGGCCCAACATTTTGCGCCACCCTAAAATTTTTAATGAGGCCGACCCCAAACCCCAATTCCAAATAGTTCGCCCAAAGACACATGTGCCCAGAGGGTATCCAGAGGGTCGGCCATATGGGGGTGCACGTGTCCCATTCCCTATAGCAACCCAAAATTATGGTTGGTGACATCCCTTGAGTTTTGACGGTAGGGTACCTAAAGCCGTAGCCCTTGGTATACCTTCATGGTCGTTCTGGGAGAACTACAAGCGGTTTGCCCTTGCTCAAGACAAATTAGCCCCTTAGTTGTGCTGAGAACACCTGACATTTTGAGCCACACCCAAACGGGTGTGGCTGTAGTGCTTGTTCTCATAACGACCAGGTGTCATTATGGGTCTATTCATCCTGGGTTGGCATCGCTACAAAGGGCAGAACAATTATCCCAAACCCCAATTCTAGATATCTAGCCCCTTGTGTGAGGGGCACCCCAAAAAACCTGGCTTCCTTTCGGTCTCTCGTTCTGTACCAACCTGAAAAGGCTGCCTTTTTCGCCAAAAAGGCACATGTACCCAGAGTGTCCCAGGAGATTTGAAGAGACTTCCATGGCAAGAGTCCGGCACTGCTGCTGCGTCTCGGCAGGGAATGAGACATGGAATGAACCGGTTTTGGGGATTCCCAAAAGGACACCAAATCGGAAATGGATGGCTTTTATCGGGGTCATTCCATTTCTCACTCCCTGCCGAGAACGCACCAGCAAGTAAAAGGAAACCCCTCCATTAAACAAAAAAAGAGGAAGCACCACACGTGTCCCCCCCCGTTTCGACGCAAATGGGAGTAAAGACATGGTGGGCATCAAACATCTTCAGCACAAGTTGCGAGGAGTCCTACACTGTTTCCAACACAGTCGAAAAAGAGCACCCTCAAACTACCAATAAGAAAAGGGAATTCACCTAATTTTGGGACAATAACCCATTTGTGAGGGCAGTTAGTCCAGGAACCGGGCTGCCAAGAACCCCCTCCCCCACCCACCGTCCTCCTTGGTCTGCGCTGGGCCTTGCAAGAAGCCAATGGACGCGCTGGTTTCCCATGACGACCGAACCCCCTAGTGAGTGTATCTTTTTGGAGGGTACCCTTGTTGGGCTTGGTTTGCATCACACCCAAAGGAAAACTGTGTTGAGACAAACCCAAGTGGTCGCCAGAACGCGCATGGTTTTTCTAGGGTTCGGGATGGAGGGCGTTTGCCATCGAAGAGCAGCTTCTTGATCTTCTTGCTTTCCGTTGGAGGTGCAGCAAGAGTGCGAAGGTTGAGCTGCTTTTCGCAAAACCAACAGCATTGACTAACCAGGAATCAGACCGGCACCTAAGGGACATTTGCAATTTCTGGGGTCCACCCAAATACGCCAATCAACTGCTTGGTTGCCGCTGTTCCCTTCTTTCAGTACGCTTTGCGCGTCCCAGATTTGCACCACGACAGCACAGATATTACAGGGCTCAGCTACCTGGCTGCTGTCTCCGCCTGAAAAACCCTCGTCGCAGAGGTGCTTACCACCCCACAGGTTTCCACCCATTCCACCTCGTTCACCTTTCAGAGAGAACCGCCAAGGAAGGCCGAAATACTTGCCAATTCTGCAGAAGAGCCGCGTGCGACCATTGTCAAGTGGGCGTGGGAGTGAGAGTAAGAGGGTGAGAGAATGAGTGAGTCCCCCGCCGCGCCCCCGCCCACAGCCACCCCACACACGCCCCCACACCCCCCGCACACCCATCCCACGCCCCACCACACCACCCACCCCCGACCCTCCCCCGACCCTCCCCACCCCCACCCACCCCACCCACCTCACCTTCCATTTCGCTGAGACCCCCGGAAAAATCAAAATATTTTTCTAGTAAGGAAAAAATCCTTTTCAAACCAACATGGGAAAACAAAACGTGTTCTTAAAGAAATGGAAGCCACCCACCCCACCCCACACCCACCCCACCTACCCCACCCCACCCACCCCACCCCACCCACCTCTCCCACGTCGAGAAAATCAAGTCATTTGCTACAATACGCTGTTCAAGCCTTTCAGGAGAAATTCGGAATACAGTACGTCAGGCGCTGCAACAGCCAAGCACGCAGCAGCTCACTTGAGCCACTTAGACTTTGCCTGATGCACCAGAGACTCAGCGGAGAGCAGAGGGTCTTGGCGTGTGCTTGAATTTGCAATAGGCTTGCCACCTTTCCTGAAATCATCAGACTTAGGTGGATCGGCTGGCTGGGGCGGATGCTGTTGAAAGGTGGGCTCGGGTTGGCTTTGCGCTTGTCCTGTGTGGGCTGGATCAGCTGGCTGGGGCTGATGCTGTTGACAGGTGGGCTCGGGTTGGCATTGCGCCGGATGGGCTGGCTGGGGCGGATGCTGTTGACAGGTGGACTCGGGTTGGCTGTTGCTCTTCTGCGCTTGTCCTGCATACTGTTGAAGCTATGAGCAAGGTCTGGCCTCCTCTCGGTAGTTTGTGCATTGGAGTGCAAAGTCGGCCGCAGCCTCCTGCGGCCACTGAGCCCGGCCATCTGCTCCGGACACTGCATTCCGCAGCTTTTCACCTAGCTCGGTCCGGCTCGGCGTCGGCGGCCGCGCTCAGCCGCGGCGGCCGCCGGCTCCGCGAGGTAGCCGCCGCTCGGCGGCGGCAGCTGGTAGAAGTCGCCGAGCAGCAGCACGTTGACGCGGAAATGAAAGCGCTGACCGCTGTTTGAATCCTGCAACACATGCACAGGAACCCACCCACCTCACCCACCACACCACCCCACCTCCCCACCCACCCACCCCACTCACCCCACCAGCTCCGTGGCCAGACGCTGCACAAGCCTTTCTGGACAAATTCTGAATACAGTACGCCAGGCGCTGCAACAGCCAAGCACGCAGCAGATCACTTGAGCCACTTACACTTTGCAAGCCGGCGCTGATGCACCAGAGACTCAGCGGAGAGCAGAGGGTCTTGGCTTCCACCTTCGTGTTGTGCTGTATCCTCTGGCTGGGCTGGCAGTGGCTCTTTTGCGCCTGTCCTGTATGGGCTGGATCGGCTGGCTGGGGCTGATGCTGTTGACAGGTGGGCTCGGGTTGGCATTGCGCCGGGTGGGCTGGCTGGGGCGGATGCTGTTGACAGGTGGACTCGGGTTGGCAGTTGCTCTTCTGCGCTTGTCCTGCATGGGCATACTGTTGAAGCTATGAGCAAGGTCGGGCCTCCTCTCGGTAGTTTGTGCATTGGAGGCCAAGGGATGCAAAGTCGGCCGCAGCCTCCTGCGGCCACTGAGCCCGGCCATCTGCTCCGGACACTGCGTTCCGCAGCTTTCCACCTAGCTCGGTCACCAGGAAATGAAAGCGCTGACCGCTGTTTGAATCCTGCGACACATGCACAGGAACCCACCCACCCCACCCACCCCACCCACCCCAATGGCATGTCTTTTTAAGAGTTGGAACCACCTCCTCAAAAGTGATTGGTGTTGACATGAATCGGGACCCGAATTCTGATGTCCACCATTTCGGGTCCCGTATTCAAATTCATAGCCGAATGAGTCAAACCCACGGCCCTGGGGCTCTGTTAAAAACCATTGAAACAACGGCAGGGTTCATCGGTTGCTTTCTGCTCCCCTGCTAAAAGTGACTGGTTTTTAGTGGTTTAATACGGAAAACCCATTAAAGAAGGCAAAAAAGTTAAAGTCCTAAGATCCCTTGGCAAAATGCACCAACCTTCTATTTGCTTAAGCCCCCTGGAAAAAATATGTCCAGTAGTGCTCGATTCCTTTTAAAACCAACAGGGAAAAATAAAAGAAATATTATTCAACCAATCAAAGCAAAGGTTACCCCCTCAGTGGGAAAAAGGGAAACAGCCCCCATTTTCTGACCTTAACCAGAAACCCTCAAAATCAGGGTTGTGGGAAATGACCACTTTGGTGATACAACAAAAAGGGCTTCCCAAAGACTAACACCCCATATACAGAAGTGGGAATAAACCCCTTGATTCCTCAAGCCTGGTCAAAATCATGACCCCAGCCAACTTTTTTTCCAGCGTCGCCGGGCGGCTTCCTCTCCCTGTCGAGGGGCGAAGCGGGGGTTGGGGGGGTGGGGGGGTCGACGGTCGGGCACCCCGGCAGCTCGAGCCCCAGCTCAATCAGCAGCTCCCGGAGCTTTTGGTTCTGAAGCGAGCCGCGAAAAAGACGGTCGTGCGTGGATTTAAATGTGGTTGTCGTGTTTTGTTTGTGGGTTTAGGGTTCAGTCTTTTTTCTTCCTCCTGTGTTGTGTTTGGATTTATGTGTTTTGATGTTGTTGTGTGTGACGTTTTTTTTTTTTTTGTTTTTTTTTTTGCGTTGCGTTTATGTTGCTTGTTATGTTTGTGTGTGTGTGTGTGTGAGTGTTCACTGTGTGTGTGTAAATATGTGTATATATATATATACATGAACCCTCGAATTTCCAACTTAAGAATGGACTATAGCCCCAAAATGTTGTATGAGTAGTTTGAGGGTCCAGGTAGACGTATGAATATTTTATGGATCATAACACCAAATATGGGAGAATGTGTTTTTTTGTCAAGCCGCCAGGTCAAACAAAAGAAAAACCTCACTTCCGATGTGGATTGGCCCAGAAAAAATAGAAAAACACTGTTTGTTTACCAACAAAATGGTTTGAAGTCTGGAAATGGAAAGGGAAGAGAGTAGCAGAACCATTGGTTGTTCATGTTTGGACCGATTTGTTTCATCAGATTTCAACCTGAAACCTTCCCAAAACCAAAACCAAAACCGGACAGATTTCTGGGAAAGGCACATAATGGGCAGAATGAAACCAGAAGTGATTCATCCTGCGTTGAATAACTAGGTCCTCCAGTAGAGAGGAAAGAATAAGGGTACCAACTTTTCTGTAGTCTATTTTAGTAGGGGAACCCTCCCCTCAAAATGGGTGAGAAAGGCTTCTGGGGGACCTGGGAATACATCCCCAAGTTGAACCAGGACAAAATACAGAATGAGTTTCATCTGCCGGAGTCAGACCACTTTTAAAAGGGACAAACACCACCCCCATGACTATGAAACTAAACTGGCTGGTTGATTCACATGGGCTGAACATTCGCCTCCTTTCAAATCTGTCCAATCCTTAAAATCCGACCCATCTTCTAAATGTCTGACATCAACCCGTAGATACACCAAAAAACTGGGTAAATTATGACGACCTCGCACGACCATCTGTGGGGACCCCCCAACCACCTTGTTTCAGGTGGGTGAAATATTACTAGGTCCTCCAGTAGAGCGGTTCGAATCAGGGTACCAGGTACCCTTTTTTCTGTAGTCTATTTGGTAAGGGAACCCTCCCACCCAAAAAAAGGTGAGAAAGGGCACCAATTACTGGGGGACCTAGTTTCTCACAAAGGCCCAAAGCGAATCAACCTCTTGACCGTAGTTTTTGTCACTTCTTGGTGATCATTGACGCACCTTATTTGAGTTTCAGGTTGGCAAAATATTATGACTCACCTTATTTCAGGTTGGTAACATATTATGATTCACCCAGAAAAAGAAAAAAAAGAAACAAAAACAAAAACGATGGACGACGTCCAAGGTGCGGTGAGCCATCATTCCGTTTGACCCCGACGACGTATTCCGCGCGCGGGTCGTCCGAAGGCCTCAGACCTGAGGCGATCCACCTGCAAGCCCAGCTCCGCCTCGGATGACGGGTGCAACGCGAAAAAAAAAACGCAGGAAACCCGAGGAAAACCTGAGGAATCCCCGAGGAAAACCAAAAAAACACAAAAATTCGGGAAAGCCCCAGAGGAAAGCCCGAGAACAACCCGAGAAATTCCGGGAAAACCCCGCGGAAAACCCCGAGGAAGACCGGCGGGAAACCCACAGAACACCCGGTGAAACAGGACGAAAACCCGAGAAACCCCGCGAAACCGCCGGGAATATTCATTGATACAAGGCGGATCCGATCGCGCCAGGCGGCCGGGCCTTTTTGCAACCCTCAAAACCCATGACTTTCCGCAGGATGGGCTTACTTCTCGTTTTGCTGGGTCTAGGTGGTTTTCAAACCTCGAAACCCGGATTGGGTCTAAAGAGAACCCAAATGACTTCCCCAAAAAATGGCTAGTTTCCATACAATTGGTTTTCCCTTGAAACCAACCACCAAAAAAAGACACACGTTGATTGGTTCTCTTCATCCAGTAGAGGCTAGCCATAACTGGTGCGGGATGGATCTTGTCAAAATGTTCACAAGGAACTGGCTCGGGGTGGAAGCTGAGGTGCGCCGACCACAAGCGTCCTTCTGATTTTCATTTCCCAGTGCTTCCAGGCAAGCCACGCCTAATGGCTTGCCTGGAAGCACCGCGTTTGTTTTCACCCGCAGATCTCCATTGAAACTGGACTTGCCCTTGGCTGATTTTGAAGAGGGGTTTTCTCTCAACCCTGCTCATGACCCCCCTCCAACGCAGGCCCCCGGGCCCTCCAGCACCCGGACCCCTCAGGGGCCCTTGAAAACAACAACCATTTTGAGGGCCCAAAGGCATTGTTCCCCGGATCAGTCTGGAAGATAGCGTCGCACTTGCTCCCAGAATCAAGCAGCGTCCCCGACTTAAAGTGGGATTGGGAGGGGTCCGCTCTATTTGAGGTCAGGAAACCCGTCAAAAGGTGTTGCAGCCCACGAGCCTGTCCGTTTCTCACTGCCGACCTGACCCCACATACCCCAGTCCCCAGATGAGCATGCACAAAACCCGAGCGGTAGAAAGGAAACCGGGCCAGGGCTGTGGGAAATGACCACTTCTGTGATACAATAAAAAGGGCTTCCCAAAGACTAACCCCCCATACAAAGGGGGAGATTCCCAACTGTATCACAGAAGTGGTTGGAAAAAAAAAACTTGACCCCACAACCCTGAACCGGGCCCTTGCGCTTTCTGTGGTTTCCCCATGTTGTTTGGCTAGTTGTTCCTCTTTTAATACTCTTTTAGTACTCTTTTACTATCCTACAAGGGTGGATCCACAAAAACCGCATCCAAACTGCTTCCTAGAAAAAGGACCCCTGTTGGACATCCAGGGCTTTGGGGGACCGGACGGAACTCGGCGTGTTTTCGCATCTCTCGACCCCCTGGGCCGCCCGCCGCTTCATCTGCACCCGCCGCCATACCGATCTCAGCAAGAAAGCAAAGAGGACGATGGCTATGACGTCGAAGGGAAACCACCCTCCCACCAATGAAGATGGAACCTGACAAAAGGGGCTTCCACGACCATTTTCCTTTTAAAGGGACACCCTGTCAAGTTCCATGTTAAGTGGTGGGAGGGAACATAATGCTGACCCCAGATGACATCCCTGGTTGATGAATGTGGGGAGTGTCCCGATTCTTTTAGTGGGGATTCAGACCACTTTTGGAGGGAACACCCTAATATATACTCAGTCGGAGGGTTACCGCAGGTTTTAGTCTCTTCAGGCGCCACTTAAGGCACATTGAGCCAGTGATCCAGTTGCCAGAAAACCCCCAGGAATCGCCAGTGATCCAGTTGTTGGGGCCCAAAGGTCCAAAGGGTCAACTTAAAGCTCGAGTCGCTTCGTGCAGCTACATGTTGAACAATATCAATACTATCCTTATCAGAGATTCTTCAAAGACACCTTCAGTCCATAAAATATATAGCAAGATACGTTTGATGTAGATGTATACATAAATATATATATATATAACTAACATGCTTGTAGCTCGTAAAGTACTGAATTCCCGGACTTGTTAAAGATCTGAGTTGCCGAAACCACCCCCACCAACCATCATCGAGGTTGTTTCCCGGCCTCGTCAACTTGAGGGCAACCAGCAGATTTGGGTTCCCCCTTAGTTTGACATACTCACAAGCAAACACAAACACACACACACACAACAGACAGACAACCACACACACACACAATCACACACACAATCACACACACACACACACAAAAACACACACAAAAACACAAAAACACACACACACACACACACACACACACACACACACACACACACACACACACACACACACACACACACACACCCACCCACCCACGCACGCACGCACGCACGCACGCACGCACGCACGCACGCACGCACGCACGCACGCACGCACGCGCACACACACACACACACACACACACACACACACACACACACACACACACACACACACACACACACACACACACACACACACACACACACACACACACACACACACACACACACACACACACACACACACACACACACACACAAGACACACACAAGACACACACACACACACAAGACACACACAAGACACACACAAGACACACACACACACACAAGACACACACACACAAGACACACACAAGACACACACAAGACACACACAAGACACACACAAGACACACACAAGACACACACAAGACACACACACACAAGAGACACAAGAACACACAAGACACACAAGACACACAAGACACACAAGACACACAAGACACACAAGACACACAAGACACACAAGACACACAAGACACACAAGACACACAAGACACACAAGACACACAAGACACACACACACACACATTTACTAAGTTGAACAATCTGTGTTCGGCAGAAAGCGACATGTTCCCTGTGTCGTTCTCTGATCCCGTACTAAAAGTGAATAACCTGGGGGTTTAATTCGGACCCCCCCGAACAAACAAAGAACCCACAAACCTTTAAGGGGATCCTTCTGTCCGTTTTCTGATCCCCTGCAAAAAGGAAGAACCAGTGGATTAAATTCGAACCCCAACCACTAAACCAACTACAAGCAATTACAAACCTAAGTTGAACCGGATGGCTGGCATCGCAACCAAACCACCCGGGGAAAAAATGCGCCAAGGGGTGCTCATGTCTCCACTGAACCAAAAAACTTGCCTCAAGCCTCAAGGGGTTGCAAGTGAACACCCCTTGAGGCCAGGGCATCTGGCCTGCCCTCAGATCCCCCACCAAAAAGTTTAACTTTTGTGGGTGAAATACTTGGAAATCTACCACTCAACCGCTAAAATTTGATCTGGAAGCTAAGTTGAAGCAGATGGCCTTCAGCTTCGCCCAGAAAAACCAAAGCACCTGGGTTGCCCGGATGCGCTTCGAGGCGGCTCGAAACATTGAGCCTCAGCTCCTCAGCCCTGAGTCTCAAAGTCCAGTTCACTTCGATTTGCTCTTCAGCCCCCTGGAAAAAAATAAAATAAACATGAGAACAGTCTAAGGGTAGCCTGGTTAGAATAATTTTGGTACCCACTTTTTGCAGGACGTCTATTTTAGTACGGGAACCGAATGTCCCAACCAAAAAAGGGGTGAGAGGTCGGGCACCGATCGCTGGGGGACCTAGTAACCTTGATCCACCGGGTTTTGATTGCGACCCACTCGTTTCCATCGTCCCCATCCTCCGAGCGCGTCGCCGGAGCTGCAAGGGACGAAAACCGCCGGGACGCTAAGCCAGTTGGGCGGTCGTATCGAGTGATCCAGCGACAGACAGACAGCGGTGCCAGGGGATCTGCACGCCACAGGTTATGACAATTCTAGGGGACACTTCCATTTCCATTCTTTCCAGGGATCCGAATCTTTCCAGAAAACCATCAGAACCCCAGCGGAAACAGCGAACGGTTTTGAAAAGAAGGATGGTGAAGGAAACAAAAGGTTGGAATCAACCCCTAGAATTGTGAAATGCCCAACTTGGTTGGATGTTCAGCCAGCAAGTACACTGCTCCAGATACCCACTTTTTCTAGGGTATTTTTTGGAAAAACCGATCGGTTTTTCAAGGTAAATACCTCTTTTTTTAGTAGAGGGTCGACATGATACCAACCAACAAATGTGGGTATTGGGTGGTTACGGCCAAAGTCTGAAATGGGTGTCTCTGTGTCTCTCCAGGTAGCCATGAAGTGCACAAACAATGGCTTCTCTCTTTGTGGCAACCCTGTTTTGGTGCGAAAAAAGAAAAAGAAAAGAAAAGGAAACCAAAAGGAAACCCACCGATTTTGGGGTACTCCCTATTTTGAGACAACCCCAAATGAGTCACAATCACAACCCGGTATTTAAGTGGTCGTAATCCCGGAACCATGCTTGATTCAAGAATTAAGAAGCCGGATCTCCGCAACTATTTCTCCCCTTACTCACCGGATCATCTACCCGAATCGGTTTTGAGGGCGTGGCTCAACCCTGTTATCCATTGCTCAATTAGAAAGAAGCAGCGCATTAAAACACTTACCTCACAAACAAAACTCACACACCTTGATCCGTTGCAAAGCCTAGGGGCACCGGGTTAAACACACGCACACACACATTGGAAGGCTTGCAAAGTGCCTGATCTGTCTGAAAAAGGGAGACCCTCTTTCCCGGACAAGCCAACCCAGGGATTTCCTTAGCTTCCAATTGCTTGAGCCCCCTAGAAAAAAATAGACGGTGATAGATTCCCTCTGAAAAACAGGAGGAAAATATAACATATGATATGTATATGCATTTATTTATGTATATATTCAATTCAGCTTAAATGGATGTTGGCCTCAAAAGCAAAAAAAAACAACAACACAGAGACACAGAGAGACGCTTCCAGCCAAATCTTTGGGATGGGGCGCACGGAGATCACGAGCCAGAGGCTCAGGTAGCAGAAGTTGAAGATCCTCAGGCTGCCGCAGACGTAGGCACCTGCGCTCGGAGCGTTTCTTGGGCGG